GCAGTAATAAGTATTTTTCTCACTAGTTTTAATGCTGTGATTTTTTTATATCAAGAAAGTTAAGCAGAAATTCCCCTCATCCAAACCATGTGTATAAAAAATACTCAAAAAAACCTTTCAGGTCTTGTATTTGTATATCTACGCATTTTCTCTTAGAAACCTCTGGACAATTGAACTACCGGTAGTAGGATTATGACATCACAGGTAACAAATGAGAGAAAATTGAGCAAACAAGTTGGGAAAGGGATTTTTAATCACAGTTAAATTTTCTTGTCTATATTTTATTATTAACTTTTTTAGAATAGATGTAAATCTTTTATATTAGAAACTATTACAGGCAAGAAATGCTCCTTTTGAGTGTACTGCACATTGCTGGGCATACAGTTAGCTCTAAAAAAAATAAACCACTCCTGGCAAAATGTTGGGAGAAAGGATCTCTTCATGGAAGCTTCAACGCTCTACCTGTTAAACTAAGTGATAAGCGGGCCCTCCGGTTCTCTTGTGGTCTTAGTCTTCCAGCAAAAACTGGGAGAATACGACTTGATTGTCCTGATTTTTGTAAAATAAAAAAAATTGCAGGAAATATATTAACCCAATACCACCATCACCACGTGTATGCAACACTTTCAGGGCTTCTCTATACAGCAGAAAGGGAAAAGGAAAACATAGGTTTGTGCAAGCTACCTTTTAACTAAAAGCTGCTTGATTTAGAACATTTATTTAAATTAAACGTAGCCATCTTTAAATTTCATTATCATTTTATAGCACGGTGTTTGTAGATCTACCAAAAATGTAATATGTTTATTATAATGCAAAGTCTATAAAATGTATATAAAAATCTATTTCTGATTTGCAAACATTGCTCCCCATATATGTTATAAAATTTCAGCAAATTCAGATTGGATGGCTGTTCCTATATGTGCAGCAACTTAATCTGAACTTTCAGACAAGCGTTGACAAGTGTAGGTCTGGCATGTGAGCCCTTTGTCTTAATATATGTCACTTAGTGCTATATATGAAATGTCTTTAAATAACACCAATTTTTTACCAATAGATAGTTGTGCGTATAAACTGATTTTATATCATACAGATGGCTTGTACATCAAATCGCTTAACAGGTGACTCAGTCTCATGTCATCTGACAAGACTCATTTCTTATTTTAACTAAAACTGAATTATAGGCTTTTGTTTTGTTCTTAAAGTGGGTTCTGTTTTTTTAAATACAGGTTAAACCTCTCTAGTCCGGCACCCTCAGGACCTGACTGGTGCCGAACCAGAGAATTTGCCGAACCATGGGAGGTCAATGCAGAGTGCCAGCAGGTTTCCATAGGCGTGGGAAGTAGAGGTCCAGGGGGTGCTGCAGCACCCCCAGGCTTTGCACCCTGTGTGGCCCCCCGGCTGGGGGCCCCATTGCCAGCTGGGGTCCTGGCCGACAGCCCCCCGCCTGGGGGCCCCAATGCCACCCTAGGTTCCAGCTGCTGGCTCCTCGCCTGGGGTCCCAGCCGCCAGCCCCAGGTCCTCCCACTTCCTCATGGAGATTGAACGTTGCAAATCAGCTGTTCGTGGCACTCTGGAAGTGCTGGGAGGGAGGAGGAGGAGTTGGTAAGCACGGGGCCGCTGGCGCACGAGAGGTGCGGGGGGAGGGGGGCAGAGGTGGGATCTTGGAGCTGGTGGATGTTCCGCACCCACTAATTTTTCCCTGTGGGTGCTCTAGCCCCAGAGCACCCACAGAGTCGGTGCCTATGCCGGACGATAGATGTTGCCAGACCAGAGTGTGCTGGATTAGAGAGGTTCAACCTGTACCTGTAATACTCCTACATCAGCAAGTACTCTTCTTTTAGTTGCCTGAATTAAACTGGAAATTTCCTGAGTGCTTTGACTTCCATCTTTGAATGCTTATTGAAAATGTTTCTACTGTACAAAGTATAGCAGCATGACATATACTAGTGTTAGGATTGAGAAAAAAATCTATAACTACTCTACTGATAATTACTACCAATAGGGGTACTGCTTCATGTTATCATGTATTGTTAAATTGAACATAAGAGCAGCGATACTGGGTCAGATCAAAGGTCCATCAAGCCCAGTATCCTATCCTCTGACAGTGGCCAATGGCAGGTGCCCCAGAGGGAATGAACAGACAGGTTATCATCAAGTGATCCATGCCCTGTCACCCAATCCCAGCTTCTGGCAAACAGAGGCTAGGGACACCATTCCCTCCCATCCTGGCTAATAGATTCATGGAAGATAGGTCCATCAATGGCTATCTAGCTCCCTTTTAAACCCTGTTATAGTATTGGCCTTCACAGCACCCTCTGGCAAGGAGTTCCAGAAGTTGACAGAGCGTTGCTTGAGCCAAATTATTTTAACTCTTAGAGTAGCTGCTTTGTATGTGATGGGGAAAGAGAGGGTTGGTGAGATTGTTAAAATCACTATTTTAAAGGCCCACTTCGGAGGAGCATGTGCCTAAATTTAGGCACATAAGTAGTCCATTGACTTCAGTGGAACAACTCTTATGCTTAAAATTAGGCATGTGCTTAAACATCTTCATCCACCAGGGCCAAGTATGACTTTATGTTGTCTACTTAAGTTATGTTTCAACAGTGAATTTTTGCAAATCCTTATACCAATAATAAAAAAATCTGTTACTGTGTAGATTGTTGCCAAACAATATTGTGAGCTGCTGGGTTTTTTTTCCCCCTGAAGGCTATGAATAGTGCATGCCTGTACTTGTAATGACTAAATTTAAATGAGCACATCTATTAATTTTTTTTTCAAGTTAATATAATTGAAATTTTATCCTCTGTCTTGCAGACATCCTCAGGTCATATAAATTATCATTGGAATACATTGAGGAGTAAATATACTTAGTGCATATGATTTTTCTTTTCAGAGAAGTGCCTGTTTAATGCGGAAGTCAAATTTTAGACAGAATTTTTATACTTAAGAATAAAGTGAATTATATTCAGACTGTAGCTAAGTTGCTTCATCTGGCCATACATTAGATGTTAAATCTACACAACATTTACAAATTTTATCAGCAACACAGAATTCAGTCAAAAGCAACAGAGGGTCCTGTGGCACCTTTGAGACTAACAGAAGTATTGGGAGCATAAGCTTTCGTGGGTAAAAACGTGAGG